AACGCGACAAAAAATATGTTTATCTAAAAAAATAAAAATGTAGTGAATTTTACAAAGTAGTGGAAGTTGCTAATCGATCGCAAAAAATCGGAGCTGTGAATAGTTAATGGGATGGAGAAGAAAATCGTAAGCAGCATAAACACACGACGCATACGCAACGCATCCAAACTTAATCTCCTAATCAGTAACATTTTCCCTAGGACCGTGGAAGTGTAGATCGAAATAATGTGCTCCCAATTAAATCCAAAAAATTGAATTCGACATGCACGCCAAGCGAAACATGCAAAATCAAGTGTTTTTATTTTTGTGTAACAAAAGTTAAATTCCTGAAATGATGTTTTACCGAAAAAGCTGAATTGTTTCGCATTTTGTGGCATAGTGGCAATATTGTCGACGTGTCGAATATAACAGCCGGTCAGTACGCCAGAGATCAAAGAAATACTGGATAATGCCGTCGCCGCTGCGCAGACGTGACGCAAGAAACTTTTGTGTCCAGCGGCTTGTGGGCAGGAAATTGTCCCGGAATAGGCAAATCTTGATCATCATTACCCAATTCAATAATGACCCCTATTAAATTAAGCGAAGCTAATTTGGACCGAATAGTCTACAAAACACGTAAAATCAAACATATTATTGCCTGAATAACATTTGTGGAGGAAAAAATGTTTTAACGAAAAAAACACGATAGTTGTTAATTTTGCAGTTTAATTGATGTTACGAATCATGTGTGTAGAAGTCTTGATCAACAATTAAAGAACGATGTGAATATTAAATCAAAACTAAATGAAGTCGAAGTGGAAACTATACGAAACACATATTACCCAATTTTTCTATGTCTTGCGAGCGAGATTAAACGGCGAAAACATGATCTTTTACCGAAAAAGCCAAAATCTTTCGGTCTTTACAGTGTAGTGTTTAGTAGGAGTGTAGATGTGATTGGTCAAAAATAAAAGCCGAGCCAGAAGTCCGGAACCGAACAAAAATCGGAACATGGCGACGCTCGCGACGCAGACGTGACGCTCGCGGCGTCCGTTCTATCGACCTTGAGCAAGTTCTGCTCCGTAAGTTTACACTGGAATTAAGAGCAGTTTGATCCGACTTAAGAATTAAACCTCAAAAACCTAATACGATCCTCAAGTTAAACCAAGTAAAAATAAAGTTAATGTGAAAACTACTTGCAACACAAAAAATTTTTTCAGGATAAAAAAAATGTTTTATCGAAAAAGTGCAATTGTTGCCAATATTGCAAATTAATGAGACTTGAGCATTGTCCGCAAAAAGTTGGAGCTGGGAAAGGTTATTTCGATGGACAGGAAAATAGCAACACACGAAACACACCAGGCATAGAAATTCTTTGACGACGCGCCCAACAACAGGAAAAGTTTCCCAAATTCCCCGGGGTGTAGAAGGCTTCACGGACCTCAAAAAAATTAATGAAGCAGGGATTAAATCAATAAAATATGAATTCAACCGGGGCATGATCCGAAAAACATAACACCAATTTTTCGTCTTACCGTAGCGAGATTCAATGCTGAAAAATGATGTTTTAACGAAAAAGCTGAATTGTTTTGGGTTTTGTCGGTGTAATGTACATATCGTGCTTAATTCAAAACTAAAATCTGAGCTATCCGTCGGAAAGAAAAAAATTACCAAGATTTCGACGCCCGTGTCGCAAAGGTGGCGCCAGCAATATTTTTGTTCCGTTGGCCTTCTCGCTTCTCGTCTAAAGATTTGATCAGCGCTGGAAGCTTACACAATCTAATTAAATAACTTTAACCTGAGCAGATCCTGAAAGTGCAAATAACACTATCCTCCATTAGTCAGCCACAAATTTCGTCCGCCACAAAAAATGTTTTATCGAAAAAATACAATTGCTGTCAATCTTGCAAACTAATGTGGCGAGGAAAATTGCAAAATAAAACCATGAACATCGGCATCAAAAGTATCGCAAATTTGCAGGGAACGAAGAAATGTTACTTAGCATTCAAAACTGTAGAAGCACGCATTAAATCAATAAAATATTACAACAGCACATAGGATACAAGGGGGGGGGGGGGGGGAATTTTCGGTGTTTTGAATATTTTCGAGATTTTGAAAATGCCATTCGATAGAGGACGAAAAATATACTAAGAGTTTTTTTACAGCCCGAAAAAAGCATATTTAAAAATACTTTTAGCATATAAAAAGTTTGAGTGCCCCCCTGTTATTCCCCCCCCCCCCCCCCCCCCATTATCCTATGTGTACCCATTAGTCTGCCAGAAATATTTGACAAAAAATATGTTTTATCGAATAAAATAGAAGTGTGGGGAATTTTCAAATTAGTGAATCTTGGAATCGCTTCGAAAAAATCGGATTTGAGCGAAGTAGAAACGCGTTTTGGATGGAAAAGAAAATCGCAAGCTCTAGAAACGCGCGACGCACACACAACGCTGCCAACATCTAGGCGACGCGACGGCCCTTAACATCATAGCTCAAAATTTCAAATTCAAATCAAACTTTCAAACAACAATTCAAACTTGACACGAGGCGAAGCACGGAACAACCCCCATGTTTTTCTTTGCTGGTGATCGAAATTATTTGGCGAAGAACGATGTTTTATCGAAAAAGCTGTATTGTTTCGGATCTTGTGGCATAGTGGCGTTATCGTGGGTGTTTCGAAAATCTACCCAGCCGTGACGCTCTAAACTTCTGTTCTATCGGCTCGCAGCAGCCACTGGGCCGTAAATTTACCTCGAATGGAAGAAATCTTGATCATCATTACCCAATACAATAATAACATCCATTAAAGCAAGCCAAATTAACCTGAACCGGACGGTCTACGAAACACGGAAAATAAAAAAATTTGTGTCTGTACTGCTTTTGTGGCGGGAAAAAAAGATGTTCTAACGAAAAAGCTGAATTGTTTTGGAGTTATTGCTGTAGTGGGTCCATCATGGATAGGAGAAAAATAAAAGCGGAGCCGTGAGTCGGAAAAATGATGTTTTAGGGAAAAAAAGTAGTCGATTTCGAATAGTGCGCTGTAATGGGGTAACTCTACCGCGTAAATTAAAAACAAACCAAACATCAAATAATCCGTTGTTTCCTGTTCGGTTCGTTTTTTTTACGAATGAGAGGGGGTTTTAGACGCGCGCTGCGCAGACGTTACGCACGCAGTCGATGTTCTGGAACGTAAGCGTGATCAGAGCTCAAAAATTTACAGACTCTAGATACCTACATTAAATCCTATACTAAGATTGCCTTAATAACGGCTGGATAACGTAAGTTTTGATAGCTTTGTTAAGAGCTTAATAAACGCCTCTGATTTTAAACTAAATTCTCCATGCCATGTCAATTCTCCACATTCTGAACATTCAGCATGTGTTCAAGTTGTGGTTCTTTAGCATATTTTGTCAGAGGAAAAAGTACTCGTGATTGCTCTAAAACTTGCCTCTGTCGTGATGCAATTTGAGGAAACTTACGTTTTTGGGTATAAGGATTGTTTTTAAAACGTTGATTTCCGACTATTGTGTCCTTTTATCGAAAAGGTTGAAATATACAGTTTGAAACACACATTTTTAAAGCATTGATTTCAAAACAACGGCAAAATTATGAACGTGTAAATGCTCCGCGTTTAATTTAATTGGACCGTAATTTAGAATGTCATTTGGTTTCTCAAAACTAATTAACCCCTTTTCCCAAAATCAAAATGATCTGCCAGGAAGCTTGGATTTAGTAAATTTTTGATTGGTTAGGCCACCTGGCAAAGTTTTGGAACATACATTTGTCAAGAACTTCCCATTTTTTTCCAAAGACAAAACTGCTAAAAAATGTAAGTGAAGCGTTTATAAAGCCGTCTTTTTTCGCAATTTACCGAAGCAGCATTAATTTTGTTGATCTCTCAGGGATCATTGCAAAATTTGTAACATCATTTCTCAAGAATTCCCATTTTTTAGAGCACCTGTTCAATAATATTTGGCCATTTGCCATGCCAAAACCGACGCCTCAGCTCAATATTGAGGTTTAATTTAGAATTTACATTTTTTACGTTTTAGCGAGTTTAAAAAGTTAAAAAGCTCGTTAAATCAGAGGTTCTGAACATGACGTACGCATTAATTTGTCCATTTCGCAAGCATCTTTACAAAAACTTGAAACCTTTTTTTGACAAATAAAGACAAAAGTATAAAAATGCTCGTTTTCCTGAAACGTCTATTTTAACTGATAAATTAATTACTCGCAACTCGAAATGAATCCTTTTCTGCAACGACAAAATAAAGGCGCCGCAGGCGAGAAATTTTATAGACAGTTGATGCACTAACGAAAAGCCAGCGCCGCAGGCAAAAATTTTTGGTAAAATAAGCTTTATCGAAGTAAAAACTGTCTTAAAAACAACAATAAAAAGCGCCGCAGGCAGAAAATTTTTATAAAAAAATCATAAGGGTCCCCCCTTATCGGACCACTTTTCGGACCTCGACCGATTTCCCCCCTCCTACGGGTCTGTACACATAGGAACTTTGAACCTTTTCCATATTTTTAAAATGCGGTCTAAGAAAAATTTAGGAGTAACGTGCAACACGAAATTTCTTAGGAATTTTAAGCGTCCTAATTTTGAGAACACTGTTCTTACGTAGACTTCCTAACAAAAGTTTCCAAATTTGCATACGAAAATTGAATCTCAAATTTTGCTGAAACTTGGATGCGTCTAAAATCTTCGCTGGCCAGTCCACAAAAAAATCAACCATTTCTAAATTTTGGAGCTCGTCTTTCGGTCTACTAGAGCCTCGAAATGTCTACGACGCCGACGCCGTCTGGCGGAGTGCGCAGGTCGCTCTCCAAGTCGAAATCGAAGGGACGCTCCAGGCCTCGCGAGGTACGTCTCTCTCTCTCTCACTCTCTCTCTCTCTCTCTCTCTCTCTCTCTCTCTCTCTCTCTCTCTCTCTCTCTCTCGCTCTCTCTCTGTCTACGTATCTCTCTTTCAGGGCCAAGTCGGCGGGCTGAACGAGTTCCAGCTGAAATTCGGCAAGATGTCCGCCGAGAAGAAGCAGAAGGCCCACCAGGAGCTGATCTCGGCCGCCAAGCTGAACCACGACACAGTCGTCGCCAACATCGCCAAGTACAGAAGCCCGGTCTTCGTCAAGGACAACAAACAGATGAAGGTATCGGCTTGATGGAAACTGGGGGTGGTAATCCGGGCGGCGCAGTAAGAGTTGCCCGCCTGGCCCACTGTCCCCCCAAATATGCCGTGCCTCAGATATCAGGCTGGACTTGATCCCACAAGTTTGAGGTTTGTATCAGACCCAGTTCTTCGAAACGAAGTTCTCGTAAATTTTGGAACGCGGCCTTTCGGGCTGCAACAAACGCTAGACATCTGTCTTTTTTTTAAGCTGCTTTACGTTCCCCTTTTCAGCTGAAAAACACGGCGGCCGAGAAGGACCAGTACGAGTACGTGCCCGGGTCGATCGTCGACCAGCAGATGCGAGACTACGAGTTCATCCAGGCGCCGCTCAACGAGAAGACGGCACTCGATCTGTGGAGGACCGTTTGGCAGGTATCTGGTGCATCACGGGCTAGGCTTGGCTTAGGTTTTGACTTAGCGCGTAGCTGTCGAGACCTAGTCGACGGAAGGGGTCGATTCTGGTTTATCCCAGTCCCTTTAAAAACAACCGTTCCAGGACCAGACACGTCTGGTGTGCTCGGTATCGCAGGAGAATCTGATCGGCGAGGAGGCGTCGAGCAAATGCTGGCCATATTGGCCACGCAGCGAGGACAAGAGCATCTCTTATGATGTGGGTATTCTTAATGTGCCTATAATATCTAAAAAGCAATTGCCCCCCCCCCCGTTAGCAGTGCAGTACCTCGTTTTTTTTTCAGAACGGCCGCTTCGTGGTGAAGTGCAAGAAGAAGGGGGGGCGATCGGAAGAAGGGGTTCACCATCTATGAGTTGACCGTCGTCGGACCACCCGATGAGGACAAAGTATCGTCGCGTACTGCGCGATTTTACCTCTATTTTTCAGAAAGGCGGCGAGGAAGGCGGTGGTGATACGGAAGAGCGCCCGGTACGGGAATAGTACCACGAAAATACGTTAAATATACGGAAAAATACGTTTCCTTCCAGGTGACGCTGCTCCACTTCGAGAAGTGGGCGCCGGAGAAGTGGATGGATGGGGAGAATGTGTACCATCTCGTCATGGAACTGCACAATCGCACACAACAGGTAAAGGAGAGAGAGTGAGAGAGCGAGAAAGCGAGAGAGAGGGAGAAAAAGAGAGGAGAGAGAGAGAGAGAGAGAGAGAGAGAGAGAGAGAGATAGAGGCGGAGTGTGAGAGAGAGCGAGAGCAGAAGAAGGAGCAGGAGAGGGAGAGGGGGAGAGATAGAGCGAGAGTGAGAGAGAGGGACAGAGATAGGGGGGAAGTGAGAGAGTGAGAGATCGAGAGAGAGGGAGTGAGAGAGTGAGACAGCGAGAGAGTGGTGAGTGAGAGAGGAGAGAGGGGGGAGTGAGAGACAGAGAGACAGAGAGCGACAGCTAGAGAAAAGATTCTTCCAGATTTGTCGCAAGGTGACGGACGGCTACTTCCCGCCCATCCTCCTCCAGGGCTACGAAGCGCTCGGCAGGTTCGGCATTTTAAAGGAACCGGCAAGGCATGGCGATGAATTTTTGGTTATAGATTTGGCGGGACTTTACTGTTAGCGGGGGGTATTATCTTTAACATACCGTTCCGTAGAGCACCTTTATCTAGCTTTATGCGCCGTCCTGAAGCATAAAACGTACATAAAAATTGCCAAATTTTTCGAAACATTTTTATTTGCGTCAAAAATCTTTTTAATCGAAATTTACTAAAACTAAGACTAGAAGAAAATGCAACCTTTTAGCTAACTTTTTTAAAAATTTTTGCTCGGCTGTCTAGGTGCAATATCCCACCCGCTAATAGCCCAGCTCCCTGATTGCTCTAATCGGCATAAATTCCTCTGATTTTAGGACGGCGATAATCTGCCTGGGTATGTGCTTGGCCCGTGATTGTGAGACCAAGACAAAATACGATCCGCCCACCACGATGCGCTCCATTGCAAAGTGGGTTAATCAGTTTTTTTAATTTGTAGAATAAGTTCTGGATTCCGAATTGTAATTTCTGTGGATTAAATTATTGGTCAAAGTGACGCCGCCGGTCAGAGTGACGCTATAGCTAGATGAAACACGCATTTTTTAGTTTTCGATTTTTTGTATAGGTCTAGAAATGCTTAGTAACTTAATTCGAAGTATTTTCATAATATTATTGGTCAAATAAAGTATATCTGAGCTAGAAAAACTATCTCAAAACTTTCAAAGCTTTTCCAAAAAAAACGAAGTTTGGTAAGACACCAGATAACCCCCCCCCCCCCCAGCCGGCCCCAACTTTTGAATCACGGCTCGCTGTTCATCTACAGGTGTATAAAGTGTCTCAAAATGTTCGTCTTGCTCTGGCGAATATTTTGGTATACTGTACTCACCTGTAAACAAACAGGGAGCCGCGATACAAAAATTGGGGGGCCGGCTGGGGGGGGTGATCTTCTGGAGTTCAGCCCGAAATTTTGGTCAAAAACGGCCATTTTTGGTGGAAAAATTATATTTATTGTATCTTTGAATAAAATTTGTATTGTTTTTACGTTTAGGGATTGTAACAAGCAGTTTAGAAACACTTGCGCTATTTATATTTGAAAAATTGCCTGCTGAGAAAAAAGATTGCGTTCCCCACCTCCAATAACCCCCCGGATAATGCGAAGGAAGCCGCTTTCTTGCAGGATGCGCCCGGGTGCGTTCAGCAATCGTCTCCACTGGACGTACGGATGGGCCCTGTGCTACCGTATCGCCTACCACACCGGCTGGGCAGGTGTAAGGGAACAGAGTGGTACTTTAAAAGGCCTTTTGCGAGAGACTCGAACAAGCCTTGTCACAGTCTTTTTCGACCCCGTTTTTTTTTTGGTTCCATGTGAAAAGCATGGCCGAATTAGTAGTATCTGCCGCCACGCTGAAAAATACATGCAACATTAAGTTTACAGTTTAATCGAAATATTCTCCTTTTTAGGACTGGAAAAAGACAGCGGAGGAGATGCAAAAGGGCCTGGATGCGGCGAAGCTGATCCCCGTCGAGCCACGATTATGAATTCGCGACGATGCCTCCTACCCCCACAGTTAAATATACCTCCACGCCGAGACACTACGCTAAAGTGCTAAAAACGGTCATCTAAAAACATTCAATTCGTTGTCGCCCCCCACCATTTAATAAATGATTCGCCCACCTCCTTCGCCTGTCACTCTCCCTTTAAACAAGTTTAGCCACGCCCCTTTTCCCCCGCGAAGCCCCTTTTTTATGTGATGTGTGATGCCTTCAGGATGCCGATTTTCTGATTTCTGTGCGTGAATAAATGCTTTTTAAGAAGGTCGTTCAACGCGAAGCACAGGATGTCCCAAAAAAGCACCCCATCTGGCGGCCCGCAGTCGTGTCCGGTTTATACGATTTAGGTATCTATCGAAAGCTCTCGAAAAGGCGAGAAAACAAGCAATTTTCGTTTTGCCATATAGCCACTTTAATCCAATAAATTTAGGATCGAAATCCATGAAAACTTCAGATTTTGGGCAAGATCCGCATGTATATTGATTGCTCAAGCTAACGGGAAAACGCTGAATTTATGCTTTACGCTTTAAGAAATCGTTTAATATCGGGCGGGGGCTAAAAATTTTGGTGAAAGGAAAAGCGCTGGTTTTCTCGCCGTTACAAGGGCTTTCGAATGGTGTAACTATCGTTCCGAACCGATACTTCTGCGTCGAATTAGTGGGGGCGTTTTTTTATTGGGACACCCTGTATGTTTCACAAAACATTGTAATTCCGAAAATCATAAAACATTAGTTCGGCGTGCTTTGTAAAGGACATCAGAAGCGAATATCGGCCGAGAAAATCAGAAAAATTGAAATTTTGTTGATGGACCGTGAAGTTTGATTCATTGGGCACGGAATCGATAACATCGATAACTAATCAATAACAACAGCATCTTCTGACTACTTGATAAGCTTTCGTAAAAAATTCGGTTGTTGTGCGAAACTTCTTATTTTTACGGCCATAAAATGACTGAGTTCCGGACTTTAATGTTTTAATACTTTCCGAATCAATGCTTTAAAGAGACTTAGAAGTCTGGCCCAACCCCCTCAGCGTGGATTCCTGGCAAACAGCCAGATACGACCGGAACGCGAAATACTGTACCTTCGTTTTGAAAAAAAATGTTTCTAAAAATTGTCGTGAAAAAGTCGAAGCAAAATAATCAATTTTGCCAAATAACTGGTTCCCAAAATATTTTACATTTTTTCGGGAGATTGGGTTCGACAAATTACGTGAGCCGCTCGGCTCTAAATATTTTAGAAATTCAGGAGCAGAGCTCTAAAAATCCGTTTTTGTAAGACAGTGTTTCAAAAATTTTTGTATATCCGAATCACCGAATCGATTCAATCGGCGCAATCTTCGTGTCGTCGTCATTTTGGAGGATATTTCGGGTAGGATTTCTACTTTTTTGGGGGCATCAATGGGGTGGGATTGATGCCGGCCGGGGGTCTCGGATGGTTGGATGCGAAATTAGGCAGGCCAGGTGCCCTGAGGGGGGGAAGGGCAGCTGCTAGATGACCTCTTCCCCCGCCTGGGCTCGATCCGGGATCCCACCATTTCCTCCATCCACCCGCTACGACTTTTTTTAGCAGCTCTTTTGATTAGATTAGCCAAACTGAGACCCAGGCTACAGACTACCACCTTTAATTCCAGACTACAATTTTTCCTATGAAATTAAGCGGCATTTCTGGACTTATACAAAAAGTTCGACCCCCCGATGATGCGAGAGTTCCTAAGTTTTAGCCACTCTCTTGATTGGCACCCAGACTACAGAAGACAACCTTGTTTTTGAGGCTATAAACTCGAGAAATGCTACTAGGCGAACGACGAGGGTTCGACCCCCGCCGGGGGCATAACTTTTTGCTTTTTGAATCCTGAGCTCGTCTTATGAGGGCACTGGTCAAATTGACAGCCAGAATGCGAAAAATGACTTTAAAAGACCTACAGTAGTCCCCCAGGCGCACAAAAGAGTGATTTCTGAAAAGTGCGAAAATTTGAATTTTTTTTATCGCAATTTTATTATTATTAAGTTTAAGATTTTTTTATGGCCGGAAAGTGGGAACGGCAACGCTCGACATCGCCTAAATGGAAACCCAAGCCGTGGCCCGTGGAAAAGGTACGTCGTTACACCCAATTATGCCCCCCCCCCTGTTTCCACCTGGGGGTACGGTAGCGGGACGCTGCTGCTCGCCTATCTTTTTTGCCCATTGATCCAGAGCCCCCAGTTTTTTTTTGGGACTCGCTAAACTGACAGTCAGACCACAAAATACAGTGCAATTTAGGCGGTGGAAAAGAAGCCGCGGGTCCGAAGTGCTTCATTGGGGCAACGCGAGAAGAAGAATTACGTGTGGGGCATTAGAAGGATGACGACGAGAATACCGTATGAAAAGGGACAGAAAGAGGGAGAGAAATATCTGCATATTTCAGTATCTGGTGGCCCTTCTACAGTACCCTCTGCCGTCATATCTATCGCCGTGACCTGATAGGGAATACCTTTCCATGCATATCACGGGTAACTCCTTCAATGCGATTTCATTAATCCTATCCCATAAGCGAGAAAAGTATGTCTGTTTTCTGTAATGGGGATTTCTCGGCCGTCAGGCCGAATTTCGAGCCGATTTTTGGCATGGAGGTGGAGAAACACATTCGCCAAAAACGATTTTTTGGATTATCGAAATTCCTTAATTTAACGATTTTACAAGCGAAAATGCAAAATTCCGTAACAAAGTGGGTTACGAGCCGCGTTGTACAGGTCTTAACTCGAAGCCTCGGTGGAATTTCGGTCTGTAATTGGGACCAGTCCGGTATTCGATGGTGGGGATCACGCGCATCTTATTATCTTTACAAATTTTTAGTGGATTGAGACTCAAAAATGGAATTTTGTAAGGTGGCCAGAAGGCCTCCCGCTCGGGGGCACTGGGTCGGCCCTTTCGTTGCCTCCCCGCTCCTCCCCAGGACGGAAGAGGCCTTTCCCGCCGCCTGTTCCAATCTGCCTCGTGGTGTAGCGGGTTAGTTCCCGGTCTGCCACGCGGAAGGACGAAGGTTCGGACCGTGGGCGAATTTGCCTTTTTGCTTTTTGGTAGCTTAGCAACAAAACCTCTTTCTAAGCTCTCGGTGTGCGAGGATTAGGCCGGGCCCTCGCTCTAGCGCCGCAGGTCAAAGACAAGGGCCTTGGTCCAGGCTCTCGCGCCGCAGGGCTAGGATGGGTCCTTGATTTAGGCTCTTGCGCCGCAGGGAAAAAGATTCTGGCGCGAGGTTTAAGCCTGGATCTCGCTCTTATAATAATTCACAATATAGCTTTTCATTTATTCAGTTTTTTACACTTTCCCCTCGGCTCTTTTAGATGTCTTTTTCTAGGCGCAAATCTACTATTGGCAATCGACGGCTGCAATTATTTTATGGGTATCGATGCATTTATTCCTCTTCTATTCCTTCCATCAACTAATAATATTCCAGCTACATTACACAGCCCATTTCATCGATTCGGTACGGTGAGCCTCTTTCCGGATCGCGCCGTTTTGCTATTTTGAAAGTATTTTTGCACTTTCTGAATGCCAGCCAGGGAATCACCATCAGATCGGCTTCTCAAAATCCAAAAAGCAAAAGAAAACTGGCGCCAGCGGGGTTCGAACCCGGGTGTTTGGAGGGTAAGGGTTTACTTTACCCCCCCCCACACAGCCGAAGGGTCTCAAAGTTGTCGGTATTTTCGCTTATTTTGTCGGGATTTTTGCAACGCCATTCGATAGAGCGTCGAAAAATATACTATAGTCTTAATTTGAGCCTACAATAATGTAAAATAAAAAAGTTATAGCCAAAAACTTTCGGGGGGGTAAAGTAAACCGTAGCCGTTTGGAGCCTGTAGTCTTTTGGGCACCGCTGTAGCTTGTAGCCTGGATGACAGTTAGGGTGCTTAAAACATATGAGAGATCTGGACGACACGCTAACAAAGCTGACAAGTCAAAATTGTGAGTCTAAATTATGCAGAGCCGACTCTTACGACATGTAAATTGCCACTTCGCAATCGGAATTTCTAATCAGGTGTCATCCGATTTTGAGGGGGAAGGCTTGGAACCATCGTGGCCGTACCGCGTGCACATTTTCGAGGCGGCCATCGGATGGGCGAGTGGTGTTGTGGGAGCATTAATGGCCGGTAAGTTGCCCCCCCCCCCATGATGATAAAGAACCATGGTCCAAAAATTTTTTCTTGAGCACCACCAACTGAGCCCGAGGTGGCAGCTATCAACTCCTGCAAAAAAAAACGAATATTAAAATTTATAGAATTTTCCTCAATAATTTTACTAGCATGAATCTTTATTTTGATGGAGATGGTTTCAGGCGTCTGCTGCTTTCCTCTGCCGGAACCGGGTGGCGATTATGAAGAGCACGTATCCCCCGAATGTTGCGTCGATCTAATGGAACTGTATGAAAAGGTGAACAGATCTCTCTCTGTCTCTCTGTCTCTCTCTCTCCCTCTCTCTGTCTCTCTCTCATTATCGTTCACTCTCTTCTCTCACTCTGTCTCTCTCATTATCGCTCTCTCTCTCTCTCTCTCTCTCTCTCTCTCTCTCTCTTGCTCTCTCTCTCTCTCTCTCTCTCTCTCTCTCTTCCCAAAACCGAACGTTTTCTAGCATGAGTCGAACGGTGCCCATTTGGAAGACACAGTTCCATGGTGGGTACCATATCTCGGTGGCTGGTCTCGCCGTGAACACGATCGAATGAAGACGTACGAATGTCTCGTGCAGGTACTTCAAGGGCCCTTTAAAACGGCGCTTCCCTCAAATCGTCTCGCCTGCCCTGTCCCTCCCCTCCCCCCCCCCGCGCCGGACGACGACCCTTCCAAAATGTTCTCTACCACCTAGCCATAGAGAAATTTCCCAATCGGGTTCTTTCGCATTATCGGGGGGGGGGGGGGTCCAATTGTTCAAATAAAAATCACGTCAGGGTCTTGAAACTGTTTTTTCCTATTCCTAAATACCAAAAAAATAACGATTCATTCGACCAGAATT